CGTGGCGTATAGCTTTGTACCCTCTTTTCATGAAGCGAAATTTCGTGGTGTGCCGTCATGTGTGTTTGGCATATTTGGACACACCACTGGCCTAAAACTGGTTTATTCTGACCGATATTTTGAAAACGTCCAAGATGTGCATGTCGCTAACTTTACAAAAGTAACACAAACAGTGTTCTTTGCTTACATGCTGGGTTGCTTACTTGTGGATGATTGTACTGAAGTTCACTGCCGACGGCACTCCTATGGCGAAGCCTGCGACCCAGAAGGAAATGATCATAAGAAGAGTGATTTTCTTTGGCATCCGTGTATTAATAGACCACACTATCGCCAGGAATCTGCAACAGGGTGAGTACAGTACTGTCATGTTGAAGCACATGGCACATAAAATGTACCTTTCTAATTCAGCCAAAATAAAGAAAAAAAGTAATTTGTGCGAATCTCCCTTCTTAGGTTGTAAAGAACTCTTCAATAAACCCTCTCGGGCAACACTCCGTGATAGTTCTAGACAGGATCTCAAAGTTTTGAATACCTTCTCCGCCTCCATCATCAGTCACATCCGAAACGTTCGGCTCCTCTCCAGAACGGAAAAGAATTTGTTGTTCCAGAGGATTTCATTGAGTTTAGTCGCCGTGACAACTTCAGGTAATGATTTATTCAGGACAATTGTTATTTAAACACGAGTTTGTGCGGTTAAATATTATGCCATTAGTTTCACAAGCCAATTTTCGTTTGACCATTCGAAGCTTAGGCAAATTATATTTAAAATTCAGTTGTCTTGAAGAAAACACGTTACCTCTCCATTATAAAAAATTGTCGGTTGATGCTATTTAAGTAAGTAATTGCTAAGTATTCTGTGAATCATTGTTCACCATTAAAGCATGTGGTTTCCACTGTGTTTTAATGGTCACAATCACGTCTTCTGGGTTGTTGCGCCCTTTAGTCCGGTAGAGGTGAACCGGCGGTTCAGAGATCCTTCCTGCCTCCATCATCGAAGGGATGAGTAAGCCTTGCCAACCAACCCGTGCGAGTGGAAAACTGTGAAGTTAGGGCTAGCGCGCACGAGCGGTTTTTTCCGCCGCAGCGGTAAAACTGCCGCAATCGCAGATTCTTGTTGCCTGTGCACGCGGACGGTGAAATCAGCGTTTTATTTTCAGTTGGGAGCTCGATTTTGTGGAGTGTGCTCTAGGCTGATAAGTCGAGGCATGGAATTTGTTGAAACTGACGCTGTGTGCGCTCGCTTCCTACTGAAACAGTGCATTCAGTCAATACTGCAGATAAACCGCCAACCAACCAAAAAGCTAACTCAGGGCGGAGTCCCTTGCTAGGTAACGGAATTCCTGCGTACGAGACGCATTGCTGGAAATGGTAAACAGAGCCTTGAAACTAAAACGGGAATTTGCTTACACTAACGGGGGTCTTTGTCGTGGAGGGAGTCTCGACTATTCAGCCTGGGGCCCGTTGCTGCTGATGTCCTTTGTTGAAAAGATCTTGGTTGGTTGGTTCTCTGGTGTTTGAACCCTGAGAGGGTGGGGCCGCTTCCTCTGAAGGCCTCTGCGGTTTGGGGGGAAGATCACTTTAGCTGAAGACCTCCGTGATTGGGGGTAGCGGGCCGCGTCCCTCTTGAATTATACCCTGGCCGTCTCTTCAGGGACAGCATCGGCTGGCCCGCTAAACATCAGTCACCCTCGGTTGCCCTGTCAACCCTCGTTTGGCACAAGTGTCTCTCGAGTTGGTCCAAACCGCTCGTGCGCTCAGGGTCTTACAGGAATCCGGCCGTTTATGGAAGAATTTAACTCTAACCAGTGGGGACTGGTGTCGGAATCAGGCGATGGCGTTGGAACCAATAGGAGAGTGGGGGCGTGTCGCAGCGTGGGAGAGAGAGAGAGAGAGACGGAAAGAGGTCCGATAACCTCAAATCCGGCTCTACTTTTATGGACTGCTCTCGAGGTGCTTCGCCACCCACGGGGCCAAGACACTTCCGAGATTGTATTCCTTGGGGATATTTTTACGTAATGCTCCCCCATCCAACCGTAACCGCAGTTTTTATTTATCCTCTGCGGCCTTCCCATTCATTGGGGCCTAGACCCGTGAACTTCCTGTTTCTGGAGCTCTAGCATCCGGGCTTTCTATTCTGTGCCTCGGCCACCAGGGCTACCAGGGATTTAGAAATCCATTTCTGCCCTTGAGGGGTCTCGACAAAGACACACTGGACCTAGACTGTTCCTCGCTCGTAGGTTCTAAGTGCCTCACTTCGGTCATTTGGTGACGGTGGGCCTTCCAAAAACGCCCATCACTAGACGTTCACTGCGAAGATATCAACTGGAGTGTTTGCCGAAACGTTGGGTAATTCTTAATATGTCACGCGACTCAATCCCGAAAGCCAAAGTTAACCGAGACTTGGATTATTAATTCACTTAATCCGAACGCCATCTCACAAATACAGAGTGTCTCCGAAAGATGCTGACGTGTGTAATGTTTCTGTGTAGACATCTTTCCTGGGACATTCTGTATAATTTTGTATCGAGCTTTGTTATAGCGAAATCTTGGCTGCAGCGTCACAATCACTATGGAACCAATTAAGTCCAATGTAAGATACGTGTTTTCTGCCTCACTTGCAACGTTATACACTCTCATCGATTCCAATTATGGTTTCTAAGAAACTGACCATTATGACATCTTAGCTAGAAATACCAACAAACAGAACCTCACAAACAATGTCTCTGCCCACCCCTCACCCCTCGCGACAGGAGAGCCATGCGGAAAATCTGGTTTTATTTGTTTGATTAATAAATTCAGGTACCCAACATACTCTATGGAATTTTGCTGCGTCTAGTGTAGGACAGCCCAACTGTACCAATTGTCATATATTTAAATTAGAACGTTTGGAGTATGTAATTTTTTCATTGTTAATTTATAAATGTTGTTTTACTTGTATCTGAAATGAAATATCACAAGACAGTACATTACGCTTTAGTCCTACATGCCTACATTTCGTCTTGAAAACATATTTATTCGTTTTTACGTTAGATTCAGCCCAATCGGTTTAAACGACACTTGTATATAACGTCATATATTGTTAAGTCTCTTTCGAGACGTTTTTTATGTATATACGGGAGCCCAGGGTAGAACGGGGCAGAAATTCATATTTAAAAAAAACTGTAGCTCTTAGAACTAAACTAATAACTCGTTATAAATTTCAAATAGACAATTAATCCACACAGGGTTCCTCCGTGTGTTTGTCTTTATTATTGTCCCTTCCACATGCCTCCAAAGATTAAGTTCCCCGTTCTGCCCTGGGCTCCTCTATAAGTCTACACATATATATATATATATATAAATATGCACTCGAATAGCTTCTAGGATTAAACACGCAAACTCCGAATAACACGTGTGGAAACTGTACAGTCTTTGCAATCTTGCTTGCAACAAAGGAACAGTCAGTGCATCGAACATTTATCCTGGGGAAATAGCTCATCCGAAGAAACCTTTCAAGTCATGGGGACACTCCATATTCATCCGGAAATACCTCAATTACTTCTTCTAAAGTTGGTCTGAAAATTTGTAAAAGCCGTTTGTGTTAACGCCTCGTAGGTCGCCAGTGCTCAGTTGCTAATCTCTAAATCGTACTAAACAAATATTTTTTTTAAAAAAATCGTAGTGCAAGGTTCGCGCTTTTGAAAGCCCGGTACTTGTCAACAGACAAGAAAATTCTTCTCGCAATACTTCTGTGCAAGTTCATGTCTAATACCGTACTAATATCACGTGACATTAGGCTAACGATATCTGGAAACGAAGTATAAAGGAGAATTAATGCAATTTGTAAACTCCGTCTGTTTAACTTTGCGTTAGTTAAAAGAAGGAGGTTCACTGAGGCCTTTTATGTGGGCTAATATACGCCAGTGAAATTGGTGTGGTAGAGTCTACGGAGGCTACTCACCGCTCTACGGAAATAATGCTGAGTGTGATGGCTGTGACTGCCACCGACATGTTGGCTACGAAGTTGCTAAAGCGGCAGTAGGATTTGCCGAAGTACAAGTCGCTGAAACAGAGTTCAAACATGGCCGTAACAACTGTCCGGAACTGAAGTTACATACAATTTGTGGTTCAAGAAGAGAAGTTCCAAGATGGAGACTGAAGGGTACCAATAAACTATGTTTTTTCAGACAATTACATTCTGAGCTGTCTAGCCACACGCTGGAAAACTACCTTGAAATAAACTAAAAACGCATCCTTCCAAAATCAATTAATCATTCATGATAATTAGACCCTCTGAGTCAATATAATTAAAAAATGTCGTTACTGACTGACACTTTTCGTAATCCATTAGGCTATAAGAACGCTTCTTAGAAGTCAACAACGCAATACTTTATGCTGGTTACATAACTCCGTAGCTCGCGACAAAACCTGGAATTAGGACACGACATAAAGTCCAGTTAGTCAGAGAGATTTGTGTTTGTTTTTAACAGTTGCAGGAATGTCCTTGTGAGTGGCATTTTGCTTAATACGTTTTCTTTCTGACTTCTGAATCCTGGCGCAACGCTCTATGAACTTTTATCCTTTAATTTTGTGCTGGCATGTTAATTAATCATTGTCTAGCTGGTCTGTCTTTTTCCATCGTGTTCGAATGAAACTGCTGCCTTTTTTTAAAATATTGCGACCTCGGCCGATAATGGCGCTCTTTACTAACTCCACAAAGCAGAATCCACATCGAGAAGCTAGTAGTCGTTCGGTTTCTTATTGAACCCGAAGTTTCATTGCCGTATTCGCGAGAGCTAGCCTACTTCTTGCATTGCTCATAATTTCCTTCGTGCGATCTTGAAAATATGAAATCAATTACCACACTTCCCTTATCCGTCTACTTACTTCCTGAATTAGCCTCATCTAATGAAATAAGACGACGAACGACTTCGGTGAATTTGAACGTATTGGACAGGAATTGGTTAATTGGAACAGGAAAGGTCTCAGACCGTACAGCCGGTGTCGCTGGCTGGAATTGAACAGTTACTCACCTGTTGAGAGAATACACAAATCTGAACGGGCTGAAGAACACAGCTAAGGGCAGTTGGGCAAAGCACATGTTCGCCAAAAGTAAGTTCGTGAAAGATTGCATCCTGAGAAATCCTGGAACACAGAACAAAAGAGTGTCACACGGCGGTGTCTGAAACTATTGACAGGACGCGGTCTATCACCAAAGAGATCTTACAGAAAATACTTACAACCACGCACATGATTGGCATCAGATGACAAGACAGGTTATGTTGCGTGACATTTAGCACAACAAAGGTTGACGTATTATTACCATGGCAATATTAGGATGATAATCTTAGGAAGAATGAGATGTGAGGAGCATGTAACACGTATGAGGAAGGTAAGAAATGCTTGGAGAATTTTGATTCGAAAGCCTAACGGAAGTGACCACTTGGAAGAAGGTAAATTATGTCAAAATTAATATTAAATATTGTGGGAAGACGTAGAATGGATTGATCTGGCTCAGTTGTGGCCAATTCCGCCACTTCATGTGATCACAGTAGTGAACACTAAGATAAAGTTTTGGGCGGGAGATTTCTTGACTGTCAGAGCGACTATCAGTTTCTCAAGGACGAATTTATTCCATGTGGTTAATTATTTCTATGTGTGTGTGTGTGTGTGTTATAGGTAGTTATTTTAAAATATGCTTCTTCTTCTGACAAATTTTATGAATGAATAATTATAACACAACTGAGTAAATATAAGCCAGTATATCTAGTAATATTTAATTTGACAGTGGCTGACGGACCATACTGGAACATATTATAGTCTACGATGACCTAAATTGAACAGAAAGCGTTATAAATTTAACGATGATTAATTTACTAACTTATTAGGTACTAAACTCTTTAACCTAGTTAAATGAAAGCTGATGGTAAAAGAGTTGGTGACAGTGGATAAAGAAAAGTGACAGAAAAACATATTTCAGACGTGAAAGGACGCAGTTTCTGCACTTTTAACTCTGCTGTTGGCGTGAAAATAATTCAATTCAATTCTTTATTATTTTTGTGCTGTATCAACAGCCTGATGGTCAATTACAGATAAAGCACAGAGATAAACTCACGAACACAATAAAACATAAAAGGTAAAACAAGCAGAATATAAAAATACATTAGTACAGAGGAATACACAAGAAAATTATATCACTAACCATAAAAATATTTTCACCAAGCATTTATTAATAACCTAATTTATACTGGCATTAATCTCACATTATTCGGCATATGAAATGAAGCTAATGCACTGTATCGCATTAATAAACAAGCACAGAAGATGCCCAATTTGCCGAATCGTGAACACGTAATAGAGAATTAAAAGTGAACACATGGCAGATGGAAACACAAGATATACTTTGAGTTCAGGGTAATCAAGATTTTATTTCAGATACTGTAACATTTTAGAGACTTTAGGCCTCATTATAATGAACAAGAGAGACGTAAGAGAATAATACTTTTGCAACAAGCATTAAATTAAGCCACCAATTCTTCTTCAGCACCAATAATTTAAGCCATAATTATTTTCCATTTCAATTGTTGGAAATTTTTCTCTGAATATTTTTAATGTCTTGTGACCATTAAAAAAATCACCAATTTCTTTTCTCAATGTTTCTGATAATAAGCAAGTCTCACTTGCTTTATTCTATAATCGCCCGTAATCTTTCTTTTACGCCGTCCAACCTAACGATTTAAAAATCATGTTAATAAAATTAGTAAAATCGTTTTGTCTTTCACCCTTTTTTAAAACAAAAAATCAACCTTATTGCAAAGATCGCCATTCTTTATCAAGAGATTAAACAATACGAAGTGTGTATTAATGTAATTTATGGAATCCAGGGAATGCTTTTGTCCTGTAAACAATTCGAAGTCCTCTATGTAAATGCCCTATACTATCCAGCTATTGTTCAGTCAAATCAGCATGGATTAATATCTTGTGTTTATAATGCTTATTATATCAGAATTCTTTAAGAACAAATTAAACATTCCGTCTATTAACCTTTATAAATCTGTTTTATTATGTTATGCATGAATTAGACGCAGTTATTTGATGTTTTACAAGTTATTTTTGCAATACTTCATAATTGTTTGAGTTCATATCAGTTTTCTTCTGTCCTCGGTATTCCCTATTCAGTCCATACAACGAACGCTTCTATTATTTTCATATTTATTAATTTAATTTATTTCGTTGCTGTAAGTCACAAGCGTTATAATTTCTCTCTCTAAAGCAAGATATTCTCTTAAAAGTCGAATGTTACTCGGCTTGCCCAAGAATACTTCACATTCTTCATGGAATCCGAAGGTTCATCACCGAGTTCACACAGGCCTGCCACTGGACTCTATCTTAAGCCTGCTGCATCCAGTTCGCTCCATCGATTCCTATCTCCCTCAGGTCCATCTTAATGTTATCCTTCCACCTACGCCGAGGTCTTTCCAGCGGCCTCCTCCCTTCAGGTCTCCAAACCAGTACCTTGTAAACAACCCTCCCTTCCACCATGCATGCCTCATGTTCTGCCCAACTCATCCTCCTCGATTTTAATCACCCAGACAATATCAGGTGAGGAGTAGATGCCGTGAAGCTCATTATTATTTAAAGTTTGTCCACGATCTGTCTCCCTCCCTTCTAGGTCCAAATATCTTCCTCAACACTCTGCTCTCAAAGACCCTCAATGTATGTTCCTCCCTCAAAGTAAAACACCAAATTTCGCACTCATACAGTACAACTGGAAAAATTACACATCGCTTGGCAAGCCGAATATACAATCGACTTTTCAAAGAATTTCCTGCACTATACAGTGAATGTATATCGAATTTCAGGGTCACGTTAACAAATGTTGACTTTTCCAGTTAAGTAATGAGTCAGAATAAATGACACATGACTCTTTTGTTGCATGCTACCAATGCTTAAACCTTAACATTTTGCCTTTCTTTGCAGTTTTTATTGAAACTGCTGTGTTATTTTCATTCTATCCATTAAGATACAGTACAGGCTCGATTTTAGTCACGAATTTAAATTCCTGTACCTCATCTTTTTCCTTAAAGTCACGTACGATTTCTACGTCAACCACAAAACCTGACATGTTTCAGATTCTCTTCAAATTTTTGCGTAATGTTCGTAATTCTGTCCAGGAGCCGGGGAATATGATTTTATCACTTTCCTTTGAAGGCAGGTTTTCTTTTGTGAACTTTGACTGGTGCTTTAGAATTTAAATTATATAAATATTAGAATTTATATTTATAAATTCAACTTACTCAGAGTGATCCACGTGACTGCAGTGTTGCCAACAATAATTATTAACAGCATGATGACAGTGAAGACACCCCATAACAGTACTGACCACCAATTAAGCTCGCAATCCTCACACGACGAAACTGTTGTGCTGGCAGAATCTGTCATGACTTCGGCGTATCGGAAGATTCGTTCCAGGGAGCTGACGACGAATAAATAGCTCCTTCTCGTTCTTAATCACCGCACTAGATGGTGGTGAGTGAGGTGAAGCACCCCTCTGCCTTGCTTCTACCCCCGGATAAAAATCAATGGTAACCATTGGACACGAGCT